GGATCACTACAGAAAGCAAACTACGTGGCAGGTTAATTCCTTAACCAGTTTCAGGCTCACCGGAAAGAGCCCGGGTCTTCCCCCTCCCCCCATTTTTCTCTTCCCTCCTTCTGGGCATTGCCTGTGTGGAGAATAACGACCCCAAAGGGTGTTAAATTGGCTCTGGATGTCCACCTCTGGCTGGCCACACTCTTGTAACGATTTCATTAGCCTGAATTATCCACTTTATTTTCTTGTAATGGGATTAGCCGTACTCGAGGCAGCTGAAGACCAGAGGGGGCGAGCGCAGGGAGGGTGTCCGCTGTGGATTTCATTAACTCGGGCAGAGGGCGGGGCCGACCGGAAGTACGTCCCTGTCCTTGGTGTAAAGGAAGAGGGACCCCGGCTGTTGCAGCAGGCGGGCAGGCCTTGCTGCGGGGTGGCTCCTTAGGGACAGCTCCTTCCAGCTGTGAAACTAGTAGGACATTTTGTGTGTGGTGAAGGGCCGCTGGGGTGTCGGGGTGCGTCCCGCCCTCTTCAGCGCCGGTCCGTCCGTCACTGCAGCTCTCTGCTGGACACAGCTGCGGCTCATAATAAAGGTGCTGATGCACAGACTGTGCACATGCAGCCCCTGACACAGCCACCGAGCCCTGGAAAGGCAGCAGCAGGTGCTTGTCCGACTCCAGACTAGGGGGCCCTGGCGCTGCTCTGGCTCAGCCCCTCACCTGCAGAACAGAAGCCTTCTGCAAAAGCCACCCACGTCGTGCTGTCCCAGGCGAACTAAAGGTGTCGCCTGAGGTGAAAGAGGTGTACCGTCCACCCTCACGTAGCATAAGGGGTGGCCCCAAAAGGTGCCTGTGGGCAGTGAGTTGGCAGAGCAGGGAAGAAAAAGCTAGAATTTGCATTTTCTGTCTAGATGTTATTGTATTCTTTTAAGTTTTTCTAAGTTCTAAACACTTCAAGATGTACTTAGTGAAACAGCAGTACGTACACTTACTGAAAGGTGCACAACATGTGAGGAATACGCTCTTAACACTGTTTAACTGGGGATACACACCGACCCAACAGGGAAAAGCAGAGAGCCAGCGGCTTACAGTCAGGGCCCTCGGAGGCCAGAGCCAGGCTTGTCTCTTTCTTCCCAGCCCAGGGCTCGCGGCCTGCACACTTGGGGGACCCTTGGAAGTCTTTGCCAGGTGCACGTGGGCTCCACAGGCCCGACTGGCAGTCCCTTTACGATCCCAGCTGTACTTCAGAGCTGGGCGAACGAACACAAGTGTGTCCCTGCCTGGGACAGACATGACGCTGTGCAGGAATCTCAGTGGCAGGAGTCCGTAGGGTCCCCGAGAAACCATATCCTCTGAACACAAGCACAGTGAGGGGCGGCAGGCTGCAGGTGACAGGTGGACGAGGTTGCAGAGGCCTGAGAAGGAGAGCAGAAAAGGGTTCCTCAGTGGGACCTCTTGGGCCCGTATCAGAACTCAAACAAGGATAGGGCACACAGCTCCTGCCATATTTGGTGATACCGTGTTGAAAAGGGTTTTCTTGCCAGCATGGTAAAATTTTAAAAGAATCAGGATACAGGCTGCTTCTGAAAGGGAAGAGGTGCCAGTCCCGGGCCCATGGTCAGCCTGAACGACTAAGCCAGGCTGAGGGGTCCCCACCGGGCTGGGGAGCAGTGGCCCCGACCTTGGCAGGCTCCGGCTCACCTGCGGGCTGGGGGCGAGACCGTATCTGAGGCTGAGGCCGGCTTCCCTCGCCTCCCACTGTTCTCCTGCTCTCAGTTATGGGTCCAGTGTGGAAATGACTTCCCTGCACCAGTGCCTCAGCAGCGAGGCCGCAGGCCCCACCGGGAAGGTGTCCCTAACTCGATTCCTCGGTGCCACTTCGCTGCCCAGCGCCAGGTCTTCTCATCTAGAAAACGAGAGGGTCACGCTCGCCTGGCAAGGGCCCCATGAAAAGCTATTGAGAAAGCTAAACGCCATCCTCCACGCCTCTTCTCTCACTAACTCAGAAACCAGGACGTCTTTCTGCTCCCAAGAGGCCAAATGAAAGGGAGAAGCTGCTGGCGATCAGGTAACCTCTCTGCAGCCACTCTCCCCGGGCTGAGCGGCCAGTAATTGGAAAAGTTCAGTGTAAAAGCCGCTCTTTAAAATTGCAAGCTCTGGAACAAAGAGCGGAGGCCGCACGCCGCAGTGTGGCTCGGCTAACCGCGGGCGGCTCGAGCCTGCAGTTTGTCCATACTCGGGTGCAACAGTGGATCTGCCCCGAGGCCCCAGTTGTGTGTCTGCCCCACGCCTCCCCTTCCCTACCAGGCAGGCACAGCCTTGAAGCCAGGTCGAGGGCCGAGCCTCCACAATCGAAGGAGTACACAGGGCTGCTTTGAAGGGGTCCCCGGGGGCTGAGCACCCCCCCTGAGGAACAGGAGACTGGAGGTCCTGCGCCAGTGGGTGTGACACCGTCCACGACAGCAGAGACATCACAGTGTGCACAGAGGACAGGGACCTGACTCTCGTGCCCGAAGGGAGGATTTTGGGATTAAGTGATCTGGAGGGTTTTCTAGGTATCGGGCCAGTCCCAGAATAAAGACCCTGTTTCTAGCAAAAGAATGGGGAGATAAATAAGCAGATAACACACAACAGTCAGCTGTGACAGTGTGACCGGTGAGGGATGAGGCAGCATTAAGTACAGTGGCCAGTGACAGCGTCCTGAAACAGCATCTGAGCTGAGAATTGCATGACAAGAAGGAGATGATGGTGGGATTATCCAGGTAAAGAGGGTGCCAGGTCATGGCAAAGGCAAGTGCAAAGGCCCTGGGGTAGGTGTGCATTTGGTGGAATCAAGGGCCAAGGAGAAAGCCAGCATGGGTTCTCCTTAGTGAGAGAGGAGGGGCAGGGAGCCTGGAGAGCAGGACAGGCAGGCATCCAATCAGGCACAGCCTCCAGTCCCAAGTAAGAAGTTTGGGAATCACACCAAGGACGGGAAGAGGATGGGGAAGCCCCTTGTCGAACGTCCCTCAACATGGGTGCAGTGACCAACTTGTGTGCAAGACTCTGTGGACAGTAGTGACCCCTGGAGGCCCACCGTGGGAGAGGGTGCCAGGCGCGTGCGGAACAGTCAGGGCAGGAGTCCCACAGGGCGGAGCCATGGCGGGTGATGAGTGTGGGCCCTGGGCGCGGGCGGCAGCCTCCTCCCTGGCTGGCACAGCAGGCGTGTGCAGCCCGGGCAGCCAGTAGTGCAGCCCCGCCGGTGATGTCTCCACACATGCTGTGCTTTCCAGCCCTGTTTCTCGTGACTCAGTTGGGTATTGCTCACACACGGATTGGGGAGTGCACACTCTGTGCCTGTCACACCCACGTGTATTGGGTGTTGCATGCACTTTTGCAAAAACGCAGTGATCGCTGCTGGTGGCATTCTGAGCTGCCTGCAGACAGGTGCCTCTTGTTACTAAGCAGACGTGTGAGTCTCCTGTTTCATTTACGTGCAGCCCGAAAGAATCCTGCTTCACTCTGTGAAGCCCAGGCTTGGACCTGTGCCTTAGGGGGTTGCAAGAGGCGGCTATGCGAGCAGTGGCACCAGAGGCTTTGCTGTGCGCACCCCAGAGAAGGAGAGAAACTGGGGTGCTACTCCAGCTCGAGCCTCCCTCTGCGTCTCTAAGTCCGGTCTCTCCTCCTTGCCTCAACAGAGACCCTTAGCCGTAAGGAAAGGGGCCACGGGACAGGACATAGGCTGCCCAGTGGGCGTATCAGGGGGTCTCCAGATTCACTGGCACACCCCCTTTCGGACTGCCCAGGGGAGCGGTGAGCACGGGTCAGAATGTGCAGGCCCCGTCTGTCGTGTAGGAGTTTTACCCCAAGTCCTGTGCTGTATCTGAGAAGAGCTGGGCGCTGCGCCATGGGCGAGGAGACCTCCTTCCCGCGTGGCTGTCCCCAGCTGGGCGAGGGTCCTGGGACCCAGGTGAAGGCCGACCCGCCACCCTCCTTCTCCCAGCACCCTGCACGTTTGGGACATCTGCGCGGTGACAGGCAGGATAATCCATGCAGACTTAGGGAGGCAGAAACACCCTCGGGACTGTGGGCACAAGTCTGCCCTGTGGTAGAGAGCAACTCCCCAGGTGACCATGGAGAAGTAGGAATGACTGCCGAGGTCAGCGGTCTGGGAGTTCACGCCCCCAGGTGCCTCGCACTCAGCCAGTCACAGAGCACGGTGGCCCCTGGGACCCGTGAGTGCAGAAACGTGTTGGAAACTTGGTGCCAGCAGGGCAGCGGGAGTCTTTTTAGTACCAAGAGGCAGAAGCCAGCAGTTACTCTGCCGGTGACCACCCTTCGTGCCGTTCAGACGGCGCTGTGCCCCTGCTCCGGGTTCCCTGGGTGGCAGCGCATTCCCGCCCCCGCGATGCTGAGCTCCGGACAAAGCCAGGCTGGGCGTCTGGTCCTACCCGCAGACCCAAAGGGTGACGGGACTTCCGCCTGGAGCGGAGGAGCCGGGCTCCGTGGCCTTCGCTGGGGGAGGGAGCGAGGGGACAGCGATGCTGTGCCTTTGCAGGGGCCACCCTGGCTTGCACGGGGCGGGGGGTCCCCACCCACACACGCTCAGGGCATGCGCCTCGTGCCCCACACACTTCGCATAGCCTGGCTTGCGTAGCGGGCTGGTGTCACCGCTCTCCTCCCTCCACGCCTCGGAAGAAATTGGCAACGTGATGTCCAGTCGTCGTGGAAAACCCAGAAGGTGCCCCAGTCCCGCGCACCGCTGTTGCGGTGGAGGGGGTGGGGTGCGGGGTGGGGAGTAATTGGTGAACCCGGGGTGAGTGAAATAATTGGAAAAGTGAGGTGTTAGTTTGTCACCGGTGAGAGCGTGGTGGGGGAAGGAAGGAGGGCCGTGTTTAAAAGCCCGGTATGTCCTCTTTATTCACAGCTTCTGATACAGTAATTGCTATTTTGTGGTTTCTATTATCTACGCAGTGGGGAGCGCGCGTCCGCGTCCCCCAGCTTCCCCAGCATGAGGCTGGGCCCGGAGGAGTCCCCAGGGCCTGACTTCCTCCCTCCGGGGAGGCAGCCCTGCCCCGCCTCGCTCCTGCGGCCCTGTGGCCCTCACTCCCCTTGGAGACGTGGCTCATGCAAAACTCCCTTCAAAAGCCGCTCTTAAGAATGGCTCGCTGGACCTTGCTGGCAGATAAGGCCTTCATAATGGCTGGTATTTATACATCGCTTATCTCCAAGGAGCTAAAGGTACTTCATCGATTTTTTTTTCTCTCCAACCTTTTTTAATTCCCTCCTTTTTAATTCTCCTCCGATATCTCCCTGCAAAGGCTGTGGAGACCTCATGTGACTCCACATAGTCTCCCAAGTACCTGAGGTTCTTTGCTGCCAGCATTGTCTCCAGCTGCAGGACAAGAGCTCACCTGAGCTTTGAGTCGCCAGGCTGTGGACATGGCAGTCACTTTGCATCTCTGGTCCTTGGTTTTCTCATATAGGACCCAGAAGTGGTGACGCTATAGTCCCCCAGTTGTTGTTATATCTGGAAAAGCTGTATGTCAGAGATGCAGCACCTGGAAGGCACTCCTTGGTGGCTGGGGTGATGGCAGCAATGTTGGTGTCCTGAAGACCTGCTGTGCCATAGGTAACTGGAGGTCCTTCCAAAATCTAACCCTAATCCTCCAGCTCCTTCTTAGCCAGTGCAAGCTGGTGTCCTCCCCACCACCCCATTGATGATAGGGAGGAACCTGCTATCCATGTCCATCTTCCTGAAGCTGCCTGTGGCTTTTGTTTGCCACTCTCCTGGCTGTCTAGAATCCCCAGACTGGGCTGCGGCTTCCCCAGGTGCCCCCAGCACCCCATCCCCGCCCAAGACTGGATCTGGTGGATCCAGAATGTCCTACTGACGTGGCTCCCCCTGCCAAGCTCTCAGGTGCCACTTCTGCAGGCCACGAAAGCCTGGATCCTTCAGCCTCCTCACCAGCTTCTTTCTCCACCTTTTAATTATTTTCCTCGCCTTTCTCCGGACCCTCAGCTGCTTACCATGCACAGAGCATCTGCAGCTTGCAATGTGCTGCAGAGGCAGGAATTAACCTCCACAGTCTCTCCCTCTCCCCCTCTCCCCCGCTCTCCCTCTCCCCCACAGCCACACAGACACCCACGTGCACACACGCTCAGGCTCGTGTGCGCACAGAGCCCGGCTCACCGGTTACCCAGGGCTGAAAAACCTGGGAGAGGCTGTTGAGCCCATCTCAGATGGAGGAGCGGCTCCCAGGGGACAAAGTAGGGGCTGCCCGCAGCTGGGCAGAAGGGCCAGGGGCTCGGTCTCCCTCCCTTTGCCCCGTGGTCCCCGGGAGTCCACACAGATCTCTCCTGGCCACCCCAGCATGACCTCCCCTCCAACATCACCCAGACCTGGCCAAGCCTCAGGAAAAGGGGCTGAGTTTAAAATGACTGAGCCCCACCCAGAGGACAGACACCAGCTCAGGCCTGAATTCCCTTTCAAACCCTGCCACTTTCTAGCAGGAGCCAGCTGCTACTCCAAGAGACAGCTTCTCCTTCTGTAAAATGGGGTGTTGAGACTTGGGGCCAGTAACGTCTGCGCTGTTCGCATGTGCCCCGGGGCCTCCTTGTTTAACCCCCACCCCTCCTCTAGGGCCGGCTGAATTTACCCGAGCTGTCTCCGCCTTCCGGGCTTCTGTTCGCTTGGTAGACTATCTCCAGCCATCCACGCAGGGCCAGGGCACCGGGCCCCTTGCCTCAGAGCCAGTGGTGAGCAAGACAGATGTGGATTCTAACAACTGGAGCTCAGTCCCAGCCCCAGGGGAGAGCAGAGAAGTTAAACAAGCCCTGGCCCCAGTGTCAGGGCCACAACACTGTGAGCCGTGACGCTGCAGGGGGTGGCACCCAGCACAGCCCCAGGGAGGTGGGAATGGCGGCTCTCAGCAGCAGAGATAGATGTGCGGCCCCGGGCTTCTGGGAGCCGGGCAGAGGGACCAGTAACCCCGAGGTGCCCAGGCTCCCTGAGAGCTCGGAGCCAAAGACCGTGAACCTGAGTGGGCCTGCAGGAAAACCTGTCCGTCCATCACAGCCTCCCTGCCCCAGCAGAGGCGTGAGGACCTCTGTGGGGCCACTGCGTCTGTCGTGGGATGCGTTGGCCTTTAGGTGGCGGAATAAAACAGCGTTTGCAGGCCAGGCTTCTGTCGCTTTCCAGCCTCACCTCCTCATGCCACCTGCCTGGCCTTGGTCCCCAACCGCGGCCCCCTCTCAGCAGGGAGACCCCTGGGGCTCTCGGAGGCCATGGCCTGCGCCTTCCCAGCCTCACACAGGAACACAGGAGGCGCTGGGAGAGGGGGGAGCTGCCGGGGACAGCGCCGAGGAGACGTGCGGATTCATTTTGAGGATTCATAATGCCGCATCCCCACTCCGTCCTGCCTGCAGAAATTGGGCTGCCAGATGCCTGGTCATGCTGGCAGGACTGCGGGTTAACGCCTCTGATTTAGCTTATATCATTTCACGAGCGCTTACAGCCTTTACTGTGTTTTCTATCCAATCGGTCCCTGGCCCCGAAGCATCCGAGACCGAAGTGTGCGTGTGTGTGTGTGTGTGTGTGTGTGTGTGTGTGTGTGTACGCCCAGGCAGCCGCGAGTGTGTGTAGATTTTCAAATAAAGTGATACCTCTCTTCAGATGCCATGCACATTAAATATTTATCGGCAGCAATTTGTGCGTGTAGATTTGATAAATGGACATTAGGAAGGGGCTGGGGGGTGGGCAGCGAGACGAGCGGGCCAGGCAGGCCCTGAGAAAGCACCGTCCTTTGTGCTGGCGCCGTGGAGAGGAGCGGGGTGTGGGGCGGTCTGGGCCGCGTTCCCCTGTGTGGCCCCGGTTGGGAGGAATGGGGCCCTTTTCTTCTCCAAAGCGCTGCCTGACTTCAGCTGAGCCGATGCAGGAGAGCTCAGAGGGGGACACAGCTTGAGAGGAAGGGGCCACATGTCATTGGAGCACTGAACCCCAAAGTTATCTCTAGGCCCCGGGCCCTGGGTTGGGGAAATGGGTCTTCACCGCCTGCCTAGGCCCAAGAGGATTCACCACATGCTCAGCCGGATGCGGAGACAGCTTGGAAAAGTGAGGAGACCCCACTGAACCCCTGTCCAACCTGGGCAGAACCTTGTTCTCACCGCAGCCTGGCAACATGGGTACAAGGCAGGGTTCCCCTGGCAAAGGTCACCCCCACAGGGCCAGGGAAGACGGGGCCTCCAGCTCCTTACAGAAGAACCAGAATTTTCCATCGGCTTCACCAACCTGCTGTCACCTCTGGGCCAGGGCTTGAGAGAGGCTGCTCGGTTCTGGGGAGCCAACGCAAGTGTGTAAGTGTGTGTGTGTGCGTATCCATCCGCTCCTTCGTGCGCTTCTCCTTTGTAACCCGAAGGAATAGATCAGCGCGTGGGAATCGGTCTTGCAGGCCCCAGCTCTTCAACTCCTGTGTTTGTCTTTTGTTTCTAGCACCTTCGGGGAGCTGAAGACGGTCCGTTTGCCGAAGAAAATGACAGGGACAGGCACGCACAGAGGGTTCGGCTTCGTGGACTTCCTCACGAAGCAGGATGCAAAGGTGAGAAGCAGCCACTCCCCCCGCCCCTGTTCTCCTCCTCCTTCCCGGCCTTGCGTGGGCGCAGCAAGGCATCACGGTGCACCCCCCGCCCCCACTGTCTTCTTTGTTCCCTGACCCTGTTAATTTTGCACTGTGACATCCGTGGGAGGGGAGGGGAAGCACTGGTGTTTGTGTTGGGGGGGTGTGCGCTGCCCTTCCCGGCTGTGCACCTGCTAGGGCTCCCCGCTCTCTGTTGGAGGAAGCGCGTGTCCAGGTGGCCCCCGGGCCTGGGCAGCATGGGAAATGCCGTGTGGTGGAAGTGCACGTGCAAAGGAGTGGGAAAGGCGCCCAGCGGCAGCACGTGGGGGCCACCCCCGCCCCCTCCCCACCCCTCGTCCCCTCCCTGGGCTCCGTCTGCGCCGGTCACACTGGGAGCAGCCCAGGTGTGCACTGCTGTGCACAAGCACTTGCACAGATACTCTGCCAGCCTCCTGGAGACACAGAACACCTCGTATTTGAAGCGAGGCAGCTGCTCTGCTTTTGGGCCCAGAGCCAGGTCACTCCTACCAGGATGCCCGTCCTGCCCAGCTGGCAGGGGCATCCTTCGGGGTCTGTGTCACTGCCCTCATAGCCCAGGCGCAAACAGTGAAGGCCTAGACGAGAGGTGGCCACGGAGCCGTCGCCGTGCTCTCCTCTGTGAGCTCTGTGGCCTTTGCTCTGCGGCCATTGGCTGTGCGTGGGGCCCCTCCCTGGCTGGGCACCTGCAGAACAGCAGGAGTCCACAGAGTGAAGCCATGCAGGGCACAGCCCGCACCACCACCAACAGGTATTCTGAGGGGCTGGGGGTGCGTGGAGGGCCCCTATCGTCTCTTTCACATCCCGGCTCCCACATGAGTCGCAAGGGGGAAAAGTGGAGGGCAGTGTCCTGCTGACCTGAGAAACGCCTCTCCCCGAGGCGGGTTCCTGGCTGGTCAGTGGCACGCAAACTGTGAATTCAGGCTGCCTGTGTCAAAATTCCAGTGCCGCCTCTTACCTGCTGTGTGATTTGGGGCAAGCGACTCGCTTTCTGAGTGCCTCAGACTCCCCCGGTCATGGGAGGCACAGGTGTGGCACCCCTGGCCCCTAAGCACGCTGGCTGTTGACCTTGAAGATGGTGGTGCTTGGTGGCGGTCGCTGTAAGAGGGGAGCGCGGCCTTCCCAGGAGCTCGGTGTCAGGGTTGGTGTGGCACCTGGCCTGCAGTATCAGGCCCCGCGTGACACCCAGCCTGGACGCCCATGTGTCCCTGTGCATGTCGTGACACCTCCACTCCTTGGGTTCCTTACACATGGCACCCTGCGTGCACCAGGCACCTGTACCACGGAGGGGCTCACCGGCAGCCCACAGCACCCAAGCCAGGCTGCAGGTGTCACTTCCCAAGCCAGCACAGCTCTTGATGACCTGTGTGGGTGGTGGTTTCTCTTCCTTCATCCTTTCTCTCCTTTCAGACCCAGCTTAGGGAGGGGAAGGACTGCTGAGGACAGCAAGGGCTCAGCCAACAGCCCTGGGGTCCGGCACCTGCGCCCCCACCTCTGCCCACTGCTGTTTCCAGCCCACCTTCCTGCAGCAGCTCCTCCCTCCAGGCACCGGGGCTGGGACCCTTTGTGCTCACAGTGCGGAGCAAGTAAGCCAGGCTTCCAGAAAGTCCAATTCCAACCGTGGCAGGTGTCTTCCTGCAGAGGTTTTTGCCCTTCGGGGAAGCTGCCACCGCTCACCCTTCCACTCTTCCTGGTCAGTCTGAGGACATCATTGTCATCTGAGTGGTGCGGGAGTGCTGTCCACTGATAGAACTGTGCACCTCTGTGCCCAGGCACAAACTGAGTATTGTGCATGTGGTGTCAGCTTGAGGGCCATGGGCTTCCAGGAGGACAGCGGTCTGCAGAGCACTGGGAGGGGGCGCTCCAGGCTCACCTGTTCCTGGGCCCTTGGAATCCCCGCCAGGGTCCTGCGCAGACCCCTTCTGCGCACATCACCCCTGCCCATCCTTCAGCACCCGGAGTCGGGCTAGAGGTTTGCATAGGGTCTCCCTCCCCAATCCCTCGGGGCATCCGCTGAACTCAACTCAGCTGCAGCTGAGCCTGGTACCTGATGGGAAGCCCAGCCCCAGGCTGGTGCCAAGATACTGCGGCACCCTGGGGTGGGGCTGGGCCATCTGCGCACCTCACAGGCACTGGTGACCAGAGCCTGGCTCTCAGGAAGCCAGATCGATGAGCTGGCACATTCTCCCCACCTAGGACGTTTTATCAGCCCCTGGTGTCCCGAGCAGTAAATGTCAGTCCCCGTGAAAGTGCTGGTGTTATCTAAACCACCAGGTGTGATGATCCGGCATTTCTCCCAGATCTCGCTGGTGGGGAGCAAGAGGCGAAGGTCAGGAAGGAAGGAGAGCAGGCATCCAGGAGGCCAGGGACGCGCGCACATCCTGAATGCAGTGGTGCCCCAGCCCCGGCCCTGCACCACGCACACACCTGTGTGTCTTGTCACTGTGCCGCACACTTCTCCAGGCCACAGCATGAAACCATCAGCTTCCAAAATCCTGTCTTGGGCAGGGACAGGCTGGACATTTGGGTGCATTCGTGCTGTTCCTCACCACACCCTAAGGACAGGTGGCAGCGGGGCTGTTTAGCATTTGAGCAAACTGAGGCTCAGAGGCTGGCGGTCACTTGCTCAAGGTCATGCAGCCTGCAGTTGGCAGCGGGGAACAGTCAGGGTCCTCCTCCCCCCCCCCGCGATCCCTGGCTCTCTTAACCCGAGCGCCACTCTACCCGCACCCTCCTCACTGCGCAGACCGGGCCCTGTTAGAGATGCTCCCTAGGCAGGCCCAGAGGGTCTCCCTGAACGTGGCTCTCAGGGGGGCAGCATCCTGGACAGAATCGTTCCCAAGAGGCTCGTGGCCTTTGCTAAGAGGCACGATTGCCCGGGGCCGGGCCTCCCCACCCCCAAGCCCCTCTTCTACCTTTTACCTGGGCAGGTGTGCTGCGCCCCCCTGGCTAGGTATGCCCGTCCCTATTGGCTGAGCGGCCACCAATGGCCACTGGGATTCCATCTCAAGCCGCCCCTCCTCCGCCGTCACCGTCACCGGAGCGGGCTGCTCATGGTGGGAGAAAGGAAGGGCCTCACACAGAAGGGGAAGGACGCGGAGCGGGCGTGCAGTTCCGAAGCCAGAGCGTTCATTTTCCCCCATGCACCGCGCCTTTAATTTCTTCCTCCCCGAGCCGCCGCGCCTTTGTACTTTTGCAGTGCAGCTGTTTTTATTTGCCGCCGCTGCTGTTGTTTTAAAAGGTCTATTTTCACATGGAATGTTATCCAATTAGCAGAGCAATGTGTTGGCTTAAATAAACACTTGGGGGGAGCCGGCGGCGGGGAGATGCGATGGCGGCTGGCTGGCGTTGGCAGGCGGCTCGTCTCACTGTGGTAAACAACTGCAGCTTTAATTGCAGGGTCTCTGCGGCTCGCGTCTCCATCCTCATCACGCTTGTCCTCCAGGCTGGGGTGGGTGCAGGGCGTGGCGTGGGCCTGCGTCCTGGCCCGGCTCCTGTGGGGCCCCTCGAGGGTGCCGGCCACACCCCACGGG